AGAAAGCACTTTCTCCACAAGTGCTTGCTAAGGCTTTGCTTCTCTGCTGCCTATTTCCTGGCCTTCCTCACAGCTGAGACAGTCTCATTCGCTCAGGGGCTTCAGTCTGGCTTTTTACTTCTGCTATCTGGTCTCTGCATAACTGGCCTTGGGCACAGTGCCCGGTGGGACGTGAGCTAAGTGGCAGTTACTAAAGGCCCCGACTGTCCCTTTGATGCCTTCCTCCAGAGCTGTCCTTACGGAGCTTGTGCTCCGGTCAGCCCCAGTCTCTATCACAAGCCCAGGGCTGCATCTCCCTCAGGCTGACCGCCCACACAGCCCTGCCTCAGCCATCTCCGCAGCCCCCACACTCACCGTTCTCCTTCCCCTGCCTCCCCAAAGTCCTCTGAGCACCTCTCCTGGGCTCAGAGCCGCCCTCCTCCTACTTCTCAGTTGTTCTGGTCCAGGCTCCCCACCTTGAAGAGCGGTCCTCGCAGACAGAGCTAGAAGGGAGGTGTCCCTCCATTTGTTTATTTATCCCTTCATAAATACAGACACTGTCCCCAGCATGTGGCCGGAGAGAGTGAACCCGGGGGAGATGTGGACAGCAGCAGGAGGGAGATAGCAGGGCTGCACGGCACAGGACTCCTGAGCCCCAGTAACCTTCGGCTTCACTGAGACAGGGCTTGACGGGGGGAGGTGAGCAGGGAATAATACTTTATCTGGTTTAAATGTTTTAAAGGATTACTCTAGAAGTTGCACGCGCAGAGGAGAATGGCAGGAGGCCACCACCATACTCTGGGCAGAGACGGTACTGGCTTGGCCCGGAGTGGTCACGTGGGGTGATCAGCGTGGCCAGTTTCTGAATATATACTTTAAAAGCAGAGTTAATAGGATTTGCTAATGGATTGCATGTCATGAAAAGGATATGTCAAAAATGCTTCCAAGATTTGGGGTTGAGCAACTGAGGGCTGGAGTGATCGTTTACAGAGATAGGGACCTGGGGAAGCGCTGCGGACCAGGTCTGGGGACATGCTAGGTATGGTGTTTGGAGCACACTAAGCTAGGGAGCCTTGCTTTGTGCCAGGAAATGCCCTGAACGTCTTGCTGGTGTCACACCCTTTGAAAGTCACAGCAGCCTGAGGAGATGGCCCTCATACTCCCTTATGTTATAGGGAAGGAGACCAAGGTATCAAAAAGGCCTCCCAGTGTGTGAGTTGCTGAGCTGGGATGGAGTCCAGGCAGGATGTGTTAGGCTCCTGTCTCTAACACGGCCTGCTATTGGGGAGCAGTAGGGGAGGTATGCTGAAAGGGATCTTTATTTAGGACAACAGTACCCAGGGATTCTCCTGCTCTGCCTCTCCCTGGCTGCCTCACAGACCCAACTCATCAAGTTCTTTTGGCCTTGACGGGGAAGCACTTATCACAGGCCCAGTCCCATCTAATGTCCTCTCAAGAAGGAGTGAAGGGGACCCCTCCTCCTGATCCTGAGTGTATTTACCACCTGGCCTCGTGTCTGCTAGGAAATGTGTGCTTTGGTCCGCTGTTCTTAAAAATATATCTATTACCAGAAAAAGATGACTTGGTAGAAATGCTTATGTGTCTAGCCCCCAAACAATTTCTAAATGTTATTTTAAAATAAGAAAAAGTCACAGCAATCTAGGCTGTACATAGCCTAGAGAAGGCCCACCTGCCCAAGGACGGGGGAGTGTGGGCGAGGACCCTTCCTGGCGAGGCTGAGGGCTTGCTGCCTGCTACTTTACTATTTGCCTAGAGAGGATTTATTCTGGAGGCTGCTTTTCCTGGGGGCTTCCCCAAGGACCCTGAAAATGGATTACTTCTTCCCTTCGCATCACTGGGTTTGGGATTTGGAAGGTCCTGGGATTCAAGGCCTAGGCAGGATGTAGGCACGGCTTACGTAGTTTCCTCAGGATCTTGGCCGCCGTATACATACGCAGCCCAGCGCAGCCTGCTGCTCATCTTGGAGTCCAGTAAAGAGCAAGAGCTGGCGGATTGTTCTAAGGAAACTGAGATTTATCGGATTTAGTGAGAGGTCTGCTTTCAGGACTGATTCTGAATGCCATAATTTTATCTGTTTGACTTCCATTTGAGAACTCAGAATTACTCCAAGGCAGTTAAGCAGAGATCCCTGAGGGGAACTTGCTTTATTGCAAAGTTAGTAATCGTTTATGACTGGCTTCCAAGCTCCTTTGTCTAGTTGTTAAGACCCTGTATAGGCTGAGCTTACCGATTGTTTTTATTTTTTTTTAATTTCGGAATGTATTGGATATTGTATGTTATTAGGGAGAAGGCAATTTGATGGATGCTTTCACATTTTCTGTTTTATTCTTACCCTAATCCTGAGGCTCAAATATTACACAAGTTGAGTATTCATTACTGGAAATGAGTGAGACCAGAAGTGTTTCAGAATTTGGAGTTCTTTTGGATTTTGAAGTATTTGTATAGATTTTACTTGCTGAGCATCTCTACAAATACACAAATCAAAAATCAGAAGTACTACAAAATCTGAAACTTTTTGAGGCACTTAAGGTTAGTGTTTTCCAATGCTCTAAAGTCTAAAACTTTTTGAGAATCATGCTGGTGCTCAGAAAGGTGGAATTTTGGAGTATTTTGCATTTCAGACTCTCAGATGAGAATGTGAACCACTCCCACTCACTCAGAGACCAAAAAACGGAGAGGTCAGCCTGCCTTAGGGACTGGAGCTGATGCAGAGGCCCCAACACTGTATCCCGTGTTCCTCTCTGATCCTACCATGAATCACATCTCTCTTTTCTACTCTTCTCTCCCATAACTGCCTGTTATGGTTCATATCTACATGTCCACCCAAGGCATCATAGGATCACAGGTGAAGCTTTAGAAGATGATTGCATTATGCAGGCTTATAACTGACTTGCTGTTACGAGATAGGTCTGGTGGGAAGAGACAGGCCACTGGACGTGCGGCCTGGATGTGTTTATCTCCCTTCCTTGCTCCTCCTTTCACTCTACTTCCTGGGTGCCATGAGGTGAGCAGCTTTCCTCCACCAGAACTTTCCACAAGTCACTTCTGCCTGGAGCAGGCTGACCAAGAGAGGACTGAAATTTCTACAGTGTGAGCCAAAATAATCCTCTCCTCCTTTAAGTTGCAGGTGTCCGGTATTTTGTCCCAGCTACAAAGGAAGTGAATAAGACACTGCTCTCCCCAAGGCCACCGCTCCAGTGGTTACCCTGAACTCAGTGCATTCCCAGCGCCTTGGGCCACTCAAGCAGGCACTTAATGTTAGTCTTTTCCAAATCTCCAAGCTCCACCTGGCCTCCCTGTATGCTCCAGAGGTGCAGATAGAGGGGATGCCAAAGGCCATGAGGAATTAAGAGCACTGTAAATTACCTCTGTGGAGCGATGTTCCCAGAAATTTACAGAAGTTGATAGAAAAGACTCCTGTGAGACCCTAGCCTCGTTTCTGCATTATCCTTTATGTTTATGCTTTATTGGGCTCAATGCAATCCTGGAGGCCGGCAGCAGCATGACCCTATGACCCTGTTGGAGACCCTGACAGACATGCAGAACCCCGGCCCCACTCCAGGTCCACGGACACAGATTGTGCATTTTAATAAGATCTCCAGCTGATTCATAGCACACACCTTAAGGCCAGGGAAGAGAGGGGTAAGCCTGCTGCCGCTCAGCATTCTGCTTCCTCTCCAGCTACACTGGTGTGGGCCCTCTCTTCTTTCCTTGGGGGTTTGGTGAGGGCATAGGGAAATGGCTCACATCATGGATGGCAGCTGAGCCTTTAGCTGCTGCTGAGAGGGTCCCTGCAGCGTGGCTGGGCCCCCTCACTTTTGTCCAGATCTCCCCCTTATGTGCCCTGGCAACTGGGACTCCTCTCTGTCCAGAAGAAAGACACACAGAATGATTGTCTTAGCTCTCCTGACCCTACTCCTCCAGGCTGGGGACCAGCTCTGTTCTCTTTGCCATCCTGAGCTCCTAGGTGATGCTGGCAGCCCTACCTGGCAAGCAGAAGAGGCATTGCCTTTCTAAGTGGAGCAAGTGAGGACAGCTGTCATCTGAGCTGCAGCTGCAAGATGACAGTCCTGTCTAAGCCTGTGCCACAGCTTCCTCTCCCACCCACTGGCTGCCCGCCTTCCCCCAGAGGGAGAGCCAAGCAGGGCCTTCCGGCAGGTCCACCGCTCCACTCCTAGCTTTGCATTTTTCCTTGGCCTTGGAGCCCCTGCGCATGGCTGGGTTGAGAACAAAGTCACGAGGAAAAGAAGTACTGTGCAGGCCCAGCAGAAATCAAGACAAAAACTCAGGTTCCAGGCTGCCAATCACAGCTTGGAAGAGCAGCATGTGGAAAGAGAACCAAGGAGACAGACTTCAAGCCCTTGGAACCCTTTCAGCGTATCCTTCCAACAAGATAACTCGCCACAGAACCCTGGACTTGCTATTATTCTCCACTTTTATGCTAGACCAAGAAGATAAATGCGATTCCAAGAGCTGCATGGGCCAAGTTCTTCCCTTGGCTTAGGGACTGTGCAGTACACATGAATACTTTATCCGGAACTGCCCCATTCCCCCATTTTGCAGACGAGGACCCACAGATCAAGCCCAGACCCCTGGCGAGCTGGAGCCAATTTCACATGCATCTCTGCACCACCATGTCCTACTGCATTCCTGCATGGAAAATGGGCTGTCTGGGACCCTTCAGAGCTCCCTTTAGCACATGAAAGACACAGGTTCTTCTGGGCAGGGCCGTGTTATAGCTATAAGCCATGTGAGTGTTTGTCAATAGTAAGGTGCCAGGCAGAGCTCTTTTCCTTAGGCCTGAGCTCCCCCGTCTCAGCCGCCACATGCCCTCTCTTGCACGGTGGTGCCCAGGATGCCAGCGGAAGCCCAGCAGATGTCATGGTGAGAAGAAAGCCCCAGCAGAGCAGAGCCAACTGGCTCGCAGTGCTCATTATGCACGAACACAATGGTGCCCTCGGTGCTTGGCTCTGCCAAGGCCACCCTGCCTGTGAACTCACCTCCTCGCAAAGGTTCCATGGAAACAAGAGCGTCCCTTCAGTCTGAGGAAACTTGTCCTGTGTTAGCCATGATCTGGGGGACAGAAAACATCCATATGCCATGTAGGTGTGTCCCGTCTCACACACTCACGTGCACGCACAGTCACTCACGCGGGGAAACGCTGGCCCCCACACTAGCAAATGTGCACTCTTCTTTAAGAAACAAGATTTACTTCCCTTTCCTCCACAGCCAGCAGTGCCAGTTTCCTACTAGGATGGTAACAAATCCCCACTGACTCCAGGCCTTAGAGCAATGCAAGTGCATTATCTTCTGGAGCTCAGGGGCTAAGGTCAAGGTGTCAGCAAACCACGTTTTACTAGAATCTGTTCCTCCTCCTCTTCCCCAGCTTCTGGATGGCTTCCATGTTTCCTGGCCAGGGCTCAATGCCAGTTGCATGTTGGGACTTCTGTTTTCATTGCTGTGCTCTCTCTCTCCCTTCCTCCTTCCCTCCCTCCCTCCCTCTCCCGTCTTGAGGAGCCTGTCTTCATCACTTTCTTGTCACTAGGACAGAGTACCCAATACCCTCAATTTAAAGGAGGAGAGATTTACTCTGGTTCACAGCTTTTAGAGGTTTCAGTGCATAACTGGCAGGCAGAAAGGGCATGAAGGAAGGAACTGCTGCTCTTTCCATGGTGTCCAGGAAGCAGACAGCAAAGGGAGGAGCCACGGCAAGAATACACCTTTCCAGGTCACGCCCTGGTGACCAACCCCCCCCACCAGGTCCCACCTCCTCACCACTCACGAGTGGATGAACCCACCAGGGAGTATAGCACTCCTGTGATCCGCTGCCTTCCAAAAGCCCCGCCTCTGGGCACAGATCCTAGATACAAACCATAACACAGCCCGAGTGGTTACACGGGACCCACCTGCACAATCCATGGCGATCTCCCTGTTGTAAGACTGCCCACGTGGGCTCCAGCACGGAGTCATGGATAACAAACCCAGCGGTGGGACCAGCGGACCCTCCTTGGTCATCTCATCCTCCCAAGGAGGAAGCAGGCCTGGGACAATAGAACCCGTACTTTCAGAGACAGCACAGAGGCTGGGCTTTCCCCATCAGATGCCCCAAATTGGGTCAGAGAGCTGCTTCCTGTAAGGCTGCTGCCATCCCTTGGCAGAAAGAGGCCCTTCGCTGGACATCAGCCCTGTCCCCAGGGATGTGGGTGGAGGTGGTGGACAGGGAATTCTGAGCTTCCTTTGGGAGACTCGGCTCTGATCCTGAAATAAACACCCTCCTGTTTTAGTTAAATTTAATCATTTTTTCCCTTCATAATTCAACTTTTTTCCAAAAATGATGTAAGGAGGCTCAACTCTATGAGTTAATACAAAACAATAACCTAGATGTGGAAGAGGAAATCAGAGTGAAAAAGCAGGCAATCTGATTATACCCAAGGCAGTGGTGCAGGGGGTTCATCCGGGCTATACAGATCAGGCTGCTACTGTGGCTCCGAGAGATCTGTAAAACAGACTCCCCGAAATCTCAGGAATCCCTTACTGCTTTAGCGGAGGTCACTCCAGTTAAGAGCATTAGGATAGGGTGCTTGCTCTTTGTATTCCAGCACGGGGTTGGATGGTTAGAGAGAAGGGAGAAGGAAGGCAGGGAGGGATGTAGCAGTCAGAGGCTGGGTACGTAGCATCTCATCTCCCTGTGGGCTCAGGCTTACCCCTTCCGGAGCCAAAGGGACCCCTCAGCAAAGTTCCACAACTGCTTTGATCATCCGGGTATCTGGGCTGAGAATGTGGATGAGATGAGACAGGAGGCGCTGGGAAAAGAGATCATGTTTCTACTTTGCTTTCTGTTATTGCGCTGAATGTCTTCCTCCCTGCCCCACCTCTGCCTCAGACAGGCTTGGATGCGGAGGGGTCTCCTGGGAGGGGCTGCCTCTGGCGTGTGGTTTGCTAGGTGGTCAAGAGCCAGCTGCAAAAGACCGGCAGTGGGTAGACTTTGCCAGGCTGTAGAAGTGATGTCTCGATGATGTGGGAAGAGGCCTGAGCTGGCCTTGAAGTCTGAGCCTGGCCACCCCCACTAACCCTCCCTGCGACTTGGAGGGGTCACTGCTATTCCAGCCTAGGTCTCGCTGGGTCTGAAACTACTTCATGGTGGAGAAGAGCCAGCCCAGCTGCCAGAGTTGGGATCTCTGCTGTTTACTAGCTGTGTGACCTTTGACCCGTTAGTTACCCTCCTTGTATCCCCATTTCTTCAATAACGTTACCTATCACAAAGGTTTGTCATGAGAAGTCAATGAATTAAGTCACATGAGCATTCAACACAGCTCCTTAGACATTGAATGCAACTCAGTAAGTGGCCAGTGAGTAAAGCCAAAATTGCCTGGCCTACCTCACAGGCTTGCTGCAAACCTCAGATGCAATAAGTGACCCTCCAGTCTTTGCTAGATGCCTGCCTGGCACTGCGGCCTGCGTGTGAGCTGCCTGCCTTGCAAACTGCAAGAAGCAGTCAGGAGACCTGTGGGCTTTAAGTGTGTCTGGCAGCACAGCCTGCTGCACATGAAGTTCATGCACAGCCCAGCCCAGAAAGCAACGGCAACCAAGGCAGCTTGGGACTCGGGGGCTGTGCGAGGGACTGGGCACTGCTTGCTCTGCTGCTGTCCACGCCAGCCCCAGCTGCCAGGAAGCCCCTCCCAGGAACCCATGGCTGCTCTCAACACAGATGGGACCCCCAGACCTAGCAGGGGCATGCAGCTTTCTTTTTCTCAACCTTCTCTTTCTCTCTCTCTTTTTAAATTCATAAGCCTTATCTTTTAGAGCAGTTTTAGGTTCACAGCAAACTTGAGCATAAAATGCAGAGTCCCCATGTAGGCACAGCCTCCCCCACTGTCAACATCCTGTCCCTTGCCAAATCGTATCGTTATCAGCTCCAGGCAGGACACTAGGGTCCCCTCTTGGCACAGCACTTTCTTTTCCACACGTCCCAGCGGTGTGGTGGGTGCACATCTGAACACAGGCCAGGTGCCAGGTGTCTGCTCTGTAGCTGTGACTTTCTACTCTCCTCAGAGCCTCTGCTGGGAATTTCCCCAGAAGTTTCTATACAATAGACGGCCAAGCCCTCCAGAGCAGTGAGATTGCGGCCAGGATTTCCCTTGTCTGCACACACGCACCCTCTGTTTCCTGGACCTTTTCCTTATAGACTTCTCTGGCCACCATAACACTTTCATTTTTAACGTTCAATGCAGTCCTCTTCTTTGAGGCTTTTATAGCATCATCTCCAAGATGGTTCCTTCAGGCCCAAATGCCATCCAAAGAAACTGAATCAGAGTCAAGGGTTGGCTGTATGCCTGAGGCCAAAGACGGCTCAAAGTGGAGCTTTGTGCTCGTGCCAAAGAGCTGACCTCACGCATGCCCTTCTTCTTCTCTCATCAAAAAAGTGATAACAGAAAATGCACATGTAATAAGTGTGGCAAGTTTATATATTTTATGTCCATATAATAATGAATTTTTCAGGACTTAGATGGATTTGCATTAATATTCAAACCTCACCATTTACTAATCAGTTGACTTGGAGAACCTTGCCTAAGCTCTCTGTACCATTTCTCAACTGTACAATTGGTATAGTGTGATAGAACCACCTTTGTGGTTGTTGTGAAAGTCTAATGAGATATTGTACATAAAGTACTAAGAGTGGCTAGCACTGAGTCTATATTCAGTCAGTGTTTGCTGCTGTTTTGTGATAGCTGTATTCAACAGGTGCATTTTATCTGCAAGATGTGATAAAAGAAACTATGGGGAATGTTTGCATTTTTAAAAATTTATTATTGTACTAGACATATTGCCATTAACCCCCTCAAAATATTCCCCTCCGTGCAAGTACATTTATCCCATCATTCTTGCCAACTTCTGACACTGTTCTGGAAGTCCTCTTTCGTGAATGTCTAGTTGCAGGGCCTTGGCTGCCTCAGTGTCCTGAATCAGTTCAAAACATTTATTTTTTGTGGTCATTTCGACTTCAGGGAAGAGCCAGGAGTTGCATGGTACCAGAGCTGGTGAATGTTTTCGTACCGTCATATTATCACAAGCCTGCCTCTCTACTGGGTGGCACTTGGCAGAAGCACTCACCATATTTTTGATCAAACATTGTAAAGACACTCATGGAAGAAACTTCCGGACCTGCTTCACAAAGTGGCAAGAACAATGGGATAAGTGTGTTCAAGAAAGGGGGACTATTTCGAGGGGGTTTCATGACAATGTGTCTTTTACTGTACTAAATTTCTGAGCATTTACCATATATTTGGATTATACTTCATCTCTCCATATACACACATATTATATTATGTAAAATATTTGTGACCTGCTGTGGTATGGGCCTCACCGTAATGGTTTCTGCCCACCAAGCACCCATGGTGTGCTCGGCCTGGGTGCACCATTCAGCACTGTGTTGCTTTTCGTGGGACGAGGGCAAAGCAACCATGTGGGTTGGGGCTGTTGTATTTCTTGGGACAATGAAGCCATAAGCCCATCCACGGCAGCCCCAGCTGCCTCTGACGCTGCTGTTGAGGGTCCTGCACTGTACCCAGCCCGTACCCCATGCCTGGAATTAGGGCGCTACCTCCCCATACCACCTCTGAGCTGTTTGTTTTTATGGCCCCACTTTATCTGAGAACCCACACACAGCTCCACAGCCCAGAGCCATTTTGCTAGGCTGCAGGAGTTTTACGAGCAGCCCACAGTGGAAACATTGGCAGATTTGGTTTTGTTTTCTTCCATTTTTCCAAAATACATAGAGCCCAGTAGACTGCGTGTGTCCACATTTAAGCACATGTGTCCTGGGTGGAGTCCAGAAGCCCGGGGCCCGTGGCACTGCAGCACTTCTGTGTTGTATTTCCGCGTGCTCCCCTCCCTCTCTGTGTTCACTGATGGCCATTTCAGAGGACTTGTGGACGTGCGTTTGTGCTGGTGCTATCTGTGCTTCTATGGGCTGGTGTGCCTCTCCCACTAGTGCGCAAGGCCTGCTCTTCCCTGAGCCTCTGCAAGCCGGGTGCAGCCCGCCTCTCTCCCAAGGGTGTCCGGAGACACGCGTAAACTATCCTTCACTTCTGCTGTGAGGCTCTCCCGGGACACTTTGCCCCGGTGGAGCAGGGAAAGCTGAGAGGGAATGTTTAGTCTGGAAGGCGGGCAGGCAGGCAGCCGGAGACTCCCCGTGGAGCACCCAGGCGGCGCACGGGACCCCAGGCTGTTCCCAGTGCCCCGGTGACGGGGAGGACAAGCCTGTCCCCACATGCCCTGGCTCTCAGTGCGGGAGGCTCCTGCTTGGGCAATACAGGCCCAGGATGGCTTCTCTGGCACAAGTGTCCAGAGGGCTCCCGGCCAAGCCCAGGCGAGGGAGCCAGGCTCCTTACTCTTGTTTTCCTTTTCTTGGTTCTTTTCAGTCCTCAGAAGGCTAAGTTTTTAAGCCCAGCTGAGACTGTAGGGTTAGCAGAGACACGAAGAAAGAGTCTAGGGCTTTGACCCCAGGCAGACTGAAGACTTATTTCTGGATTTGCGATATACCAGTCATAGGAAGTGTAATACAAAACTATGGTGGAGGTCTAAATTTTTAAAAATTCATTACAGGAAAAGACACATTGCTCTTAAGTCACTCAGAATACTCCTCCTCGATTCAAGCATGCTTATCCCGTCATTCTTGCCACTTGGTGAAGCAGTTCTAGAAGTCCTCTTTCATGATTGTCTTGGCTGCCTTGATGCTCCGTATGAATGCAGAATGTTTACCTTTCATCTTGATGTGGAGGGAAGGGGCAGAAGTTGCCGGGGGCAGGATCCAGTGAGTGAGGTGGATAACGTTTTTACAAACCTGCATTTCCCTTGGGCGGCACGGGCAGCAGCACGCACCATATGTTTGTTCGTACCTCATAAAGCCACTCAGAAGAGACGACTCTCAGCACTGCTTCTGAAAGTGGCAAGAATGAGGCCATAGAAGTGTTGAAAGCCAGGGAGGAGTATTCGGAGGGGATTAATGGCAACATCTTTTACTATAATG